CAGGCAGATTATTGTAAAGGGCAGCGACCCTCGAATAGCCCAAGTAGGTCTGCCCGGTTCGCGAGTTTGCGCCGCGAGCCCGTCGAATATTCGTGTACACACATATTTTGTATTTCTTTTTATATTATTTTGAATGCAAATTTTATTTTAATATAATACTCGCGAGTGCTTACTCTTCTCTGTGTGGGTCCTGTCCCCTCTGCATTGTGTTAAAGTCGTCGCGAGAGGCAAGGACGTCCAAGGTCGTCACGATACTTGACGCCAGCGGTGTCTTGGAGAGCGTGACCCACGTACATCCCTTACAGAAAGTGTCGCCGAGGATACCCGGGCAACACAGGCTTGGTCGAGGTTGCGAATTTTGCCTCGTTAAATCCGCATCGGTAACACCCCGTAACAAACTGTAGTACACGATCATTTCTGTGAGAGTAATTAGTCGTTGATTCATTTCTATGTTGTTCTGTCCAAACTGTTGAGTCATTGATATCGATTAAATGGTTGAAAAAATTTCGTTTTTGGAGAGAGTTAAGAGATTTATTTATTTCTTGATCCATGTTAAAAAGGGTTGTTGAGTTGATCATCCGTAAATGCTGTGTCGAGCGTAATCATAATTAATTGTGTCTAGAGTAAATTTAATGGTCTGAAAAATCATTATTATAGTGATAAAAGCAGCACTTGCTGAGTTGAAAGAGAGGAATTTTTGCCACATTTTATTCCAAGTATTTTCCGCGAGTGTTTGTAAAGTATTTTCGTCAAAGATGTGTAAGAGTGAAATTTATTGTGCAAGTCTTGTTTTTCCTGATATACTTGTGGCGTCCCAGCCTTGCGCACAAGCAGCGCGTTTGAGGCGCAAACAGACGCTTGTCCCGCGCGCTGTGTTTTAACCGCGAGCTCTGCTGATTTCGTCCAATCAGCAAGCCTCGCGCCCCTCTCGAGCCTACCAATCCACGAGCTGCCACAGCTGTAGCGGGACGACAAGAAGAAGAAGAAGACAGAGTCTCTTAAGTACAGCCGCGTCAGGCAGTTATGTTTTGCCTTTTTGTAATTAATAAAACTAAAACTAAAATGTACAGTTCACGCGTTGAGCATCATTTCTCGCTCCCGTGCTCCGTGTCCTTGTCCTGTCGTTGAGGCGCCTTGTTATTTCGCCGAGCCTCACCCTCGCGATCCCCAAATACTTGCTGCTACTTGATTGAGTACCGCTAAGCGTTCGGACGGAAATGTGATGTAGGTTTTTAATTTTTGTATGTCTTTGCAAGAATAAATACCGCTGTTTTCTAAGTAGAGGGGACTAGAGTATTTCCAAGTTTGTTTGGTGTCTGGCCTTAGTAACTGTGGATCATCTTGGGTTGTAACTTGTGGTAACATTTTGTACCATCGTGATCCGAAATTAAACATTACGGGGAGAACTGTATGGTATCCTGTTTTTGTACCGTATTCTTTGAGTACGTGTGTGCGTGGCGCCAAAAAATACGGTTTTTCATTCCAAAACGCTGGCAGCTCTTGGTAGCATGCATCGGTTTCTCTTATGCGTACTTCTACTTGTACACACTTAACAATATGCACTGCCTCCCCAGCCAAAAAGCTAATGTAACCTGGGCCAGATATAAGTTGATAAGCGAAATTATCTAGTAAAATGGTGGAAATATTGAGTGCGTTTCCGATTACTTTTCTTTCTAATTTTCATTATTTCAACAGCACGTCACTGTAAAATTCCTTCATTTGTTTTCTGAAGTGTTTTTCTATAAAGATAAATTTAGAATTTACGTATGTAAACATATCTATGTTGTTAATATCAACGTTTTTTTCTGCTGAGAAATTCTACTTCTCGGGGTCAGTCAATAAAAGTATTTATGTGTGTTCTGTTTTAATAAGCGCGAAAGAGAATGTGTTTACAGTGCCAATGTGATTGAATACGTACGACACATGATCTGATTCGAGTACATACAGCGATTTGAACTCATTTTTTCTTTCGAATACCCTATTTACGTATCCTGTAAAAAGATTTGTGTAGCGATTACGGTCGCATGAGTCAATAGGGATTACGTTCCAAAATGTGTATCCGTAAACGCTGTCAATGCAGTGATCGTCCGCACAGATACTTGACGTTCCCGATTCGAGTCTTATTTTATTATTGTTTTAATCTATGGCATTGTAACGCTCTTCTAAAGTGGTAAAGGCGTAATCCTGTATGAATACTTTTATATATATCCCGTATGTGTCTGTGTATGATCCTGCGTTTTTACAGGCATCGTTAGCGCCTATGGAGCCTGATAATTTTACTAAAAAGGTCTTCGTATTGTTGATGGGAATGTCTTGTATTATGTTGTTGTACAGAGTTATACTTCTGTGTAAATGCATTCTATTGCATTCATCTTGTGTTATTTCTCTGATGTATTCCATTTTCCCATTTTTTATTACTGAACTATGCAAATACATGCTGCAATGTTGCATTGTTCTCTTAAGCTTGATTTTGCAATAAATGACACGTGTGAAAGCGTAGTCGTTTAATTGGATGAGCAACACGTGTACTCTAGTTGAATTTATCACCGGTTCTGGAATGTCGCGTTCTCCTAGATTGACTTGAGAGAATGTTGTAAAATTAGCGAAAGATTGACAGTAGTCATATCGAATGATTGCTTTGGCTCGGTTGACGATTTCGTAAAAGATGAATAGCCAGAGGATTATCTTCATCTGTAAATGAGTAGTTTTTAATTTGTTTTTCGTGATTAATATTATTGACTCTTCTTTAGCGTGGTCTCAACAGTACATTAAACAAAAATGACAACGACAATACACCAGTGTTTCTAACAACCAAGCGTTCTCGCGCATGCACACAACGGTTTTACTCTCTCTCCGACCAAGCTAGCAGTGGAGGGAGAGCTCCCCCTACCTTTACCTTTAACCCAAGCTCCCCTCGCTCTAACACCTTAAATATAATCTTATATCTTAGAGGGGTATGCTCGACGTTGGTCGAGCGGACTACGTCTTTTGCCCGCGTAGAGAATCTGACCAATATGCCATCGATCCTTCATCAATGCATTTTTTTTTTTTTTTTTTTTTTTTTTTTTTTTTTTTTTTTTTTTTTTTTT